AAAGTTGGCCAAAAAAGACAAAGGACTCAATGAACGAATCGGGCCCAAAAAGAAGTGGCCCAAAGGCAAAATTTGGGACAAGCTCAATAGATAACCTGGTTTTGTTCGACAAAGCAACATATGACACTCTGTAAGGAAGTTCCCAACCATAAGGTTATAACTCCAGCTGTTGTCTCAGACTGAAGATTTGAGTTTTCTTGGCCAGGAAAGCCCTTTAGGAGCTGGTTAGTAAAGAACTTACTAACTGGTTTCAAAGCACAGAGCTCAAGTAATTTACACCAGAAGCACCAAGGGTGGAGATGTCTCAGCTGCTGGTGAACATGCATGAAGAGATCTCACCAAATGAACATTTTGGAAAATAAAAATTTATTAAATTAAAAAGAGAGAGAGATTGGAAAACAGGATCATCAAATGACAGTAGTAGTTTGATCCTATTAAAACTGTTTCAGATTTCAGAGAAAGAATAAAAGGTTCCAGATTGTTTTTATACCATTAGTGCATTCTTTATTCTAAATCTGAAAACAAGGATAAAAATAAAACTAGAAAAAAATTTTATCACCAAAAAAAATCCTAAACAGACCATCAGCAAACAGAATTTAATAGTTCATTAATATTCTCATATATATGAGAATCACCCCTGGAACACAAAGCTCGCTCAATATGAGATAATTTATTTGTATTATATATGATATTGAACAGACTGAAAGGAGAAAAACTATACATTTAGGTCAATAAACCCTGAAAAATTATCTGGTAAAGTTCAATTTCCATTCCTGCTTCTTCTTTTTTTATTTACTTTTTGTTTTTAAGTAGGCTTCATGCCCAGTGGGGAGCCCAATGTGAGGCCTGAACTAACAACCCAGAACTGAGAATAAGAGTCAGACGCTTAACCTACTGAGCCACCCAGGTGCCCCTCTTTACTTTTTTTTTTTCATCTAAGTTCCATGCCCAATGTGGGGCTTGAACTTATAACCCCAAGATCAATAGTCGCATGCTCTACAATAAAAGGCTAATCATCATGTTAATTAGTACATTTCACACCTAGAAGCACTTTTTTTCCTTTTTCCAAGAAGCATTTTCAATGCATGTATGAACATAGCATGCATGTAAAGTATTATTATATTCCCTATTTATTCTACAAGTATCAATTAAATTAGAAAAGAGAAAAAAGGCAAAATATCATTTATAGTTATGTTTCTAAGATTAGAAAACCCAAGAACATCATATGAAAAAAAATATTAAATAAAGGAATGCAGTCAAGTGGCAGGTTGCAAAATTAATACCGAAAGTTAATAGCTTTTATATATACAACAACCGGAAAATAAAATGTGAAGGGGGGAGGAAAAAAAAAACCTCTAAAAGATTAAATATGTAGGTACAAACAAACAACCCAAACCAAAATTTAACATGCATACAACCTATTCAAATCTGAGCAGGTATGTAAAATTAACTTCAGCAAGCAGGATATCACATACTCTCGGCCAAGAAGAGTCAGCATTATAAAAGTGATATGCCCCAAACTAATTTATTAATTCAGTGAAGTACTACTTAAAAAACATGAGAACTTTGGAGAAACTGAACAAAGCTGTAGTAAAGTTCATTTGGAAAAACAAACATATAAGAAAAGCCAGAGAAATTCTTCTGTGCAAGACGATGTTTACAATGAGGGGCAGAAATAAAATGGGGGCAGAGAATAGCCTGGGTGCTCAGTCCCTTGAGTGTCTGATTTCAGCTCAGGTTATGATCTCACGGTTTGTGGGTTAAAGCCTATAAGGGATCACCGCTGTCAGCACAGTGCCTGCTTTGGATCCTCTGCACCCCCCTTTCCTGCTCATGTTCTCTCTCATAAACAGGTAAACATTAAAAAAAAATTTTTTTAAACATACTCTGAAGCTTTAATAGTTAAGAGTTTAATACTATACAAGAAAACAAAACAGTCAGACTGAGTAATAAAACACAACTGCCAAAATGGACCCACAAAAAAAGGAACTCTGGTTTAGGACAGTTTCTCAACCTCAGTACTACTGATAAAGGAAAATGTCTCCTGGAGGGCAAAACTGCCCCTGCATGAGAACCACTGGTTTATGAATAATGGTGGTATTTCAAACTGGGGGTTGGGATAACAGATTTCACTGTTAAATTGTTAAATCGTACTGGAATAAGTGGCAATTGGTCTGAAAAAGCATTTAGCTAAATCCACTTATGATTTTAAATGATTATTTATTTAAAATTATTTTTAATTGTGTTAAGTCATATATGTATATTTTGTCTTGGTAAAATTAAACATTACAGATCTCTATTATAATCATCCCTTTCTCTTACTCCTCAGAGATAAGTGCTTTAATTTTAAGTTGATATATAGCTTTCTCAAAGCTTTTGTTACGTATTAAAAAAAATATGTAATACACACTTGTGGAAAACATAATTTTTTAAAAGTTTATTTGAGAGAGCAAGCGTGAGTGGGGGAGGGACAGAGAGAATCCCAAGCAGGTTCTATACCTGCCAATGGGAGCCCGATGGGGCCTCAAACCCATGAACCGTGAGAACAGACCTGAGCTGAAATCGAGCTGGATGCTCAACCGACTGAGCCACCAGGTGCCCCAAAATATAATTTGATTGTGGGGAGGACGGCGGGAGGCTTCAGAGGAAAGCATGTGTGAACTTTTTTTTAAGTTTATTTATTTCAATGGGAGCCTGGGTGGCTCAGTCGGTTGAGCATCCGACTCCGGTTCAGGTCATGATCTTGCAGTTTGCTTAGGTTTCTGTGTTTCCCTCTCTTTGCCCCTGCCCTGCACATGCTCTATCTCTCAAAAATAAATGTTAAAAAAAAATTAAAGTTTATTTATTTTGATGGGGGGGAGGGGCAGAGAGCGAGAAAGAAAGAGAATCTCAAGCAGGCTCCACCCTGTCAGCGTGCAGCCCGACCTTGGGCTTGATCTCGACTTTGGGCTTGACTTCATGACCTAAGATAAAATCAAGAGTCTGACGCTTAACTGACTGAGCTACCTAGGTGCCCTATAATATATAACCTAAAATACAAGAGGATTTTATAAATAGAATAAACAAAACCCAGAAGTCATAAAAGATCAATGGATTAGAATTTACAAAAATTTTAAAACTCTGATACAGCAAAAATGATCATATAGTTAAAAAATAGATTAAAAAACTGGAAAAAATAATTTTTGTTACAGATAAGGGCTATTTTCTTATAAAAAAGAGTTGATATAAATTATTAAGAAAATGTTGAGTAACAATGGAACTGCAAATTAAGAAAAAAATAATTACAAGTGCCAGCAATCACTCAACTCACTTTAAGAAATGTAAATAACCACATGTGAAGTAACCAGTTGAGCTGAAGCTGACCCTAAAAAACGTAAATAAAAAATGAGACACCATTTTGTATTTATTATATTGTTAAGAAATGTGATGATATCCCAGAGTTAGTGAGGGTGTGAAGGAAATGATCAATCCAACAGTTTTTGGATGTTTTCAATGATCCAACTTTCTGATAAATGATTAGCACATGTTCTTTGACCTTGGAATTCTAGCCCTAACAATTTATCACATGAACATAGTACTCAACAAAAGCTTGATAGCAATATAATGAAGATTTAATGGGAAAACACTGCAAACAACCAAAATGTCTATCAAATGCATGCAGGTTAAATAAAATTTGGCATATCCATACAAAGGGAATACCGTGTAGTCAATGCAGAGAATAAGGTAGATTTGACTGTGACCTTCTCAAAGAGTTTCAAGATGCATTTTGTTAAGAAAAATCCGAATAATGTAAATAGCATAAACACCCCTGTGTTTATTTAAAAATTACAGAAGTAAAGTAACCCAGGGGCACCTGGGTCAGTTGAACATCTGACTCTTGATCTTGGCTCAGGTCATGATTTCACGGTTCATGGGATCAGGCCCCATGTTGGGCTCTGCACTGCTGGTGCGGACCCTGCTTAGGATTCCCCCTCTCCTTCTCCCTTTCTGCCCCTCCCTCCACATGCACATGCACTCTCTCTCTCTCAAAATAAATAAACTTTAAAAAAATCTTAAAAAAAAAGTTCGGGCGCCTGGGTGGCTCAGTTGGTTGGGCATCCTACTTTGGCTCAGGTCATGATCTGGCAGTTTGTGAGCCCACATCGGGCTCTGTGCGGACAGCTCGGAGCCTGGAGCCTGTTTCAGATTCTGTTGTCTCCCTCTCTCTCTCTCTCTCTCTGCTTCTCCTCCACTCACACTCTGTCTCTCTCCCTCTCTCAAAAATAAATAAACATTAAAAAAATTAAAAAAAAAAAAAGAAGAAGTAAAGTAACCTGGCTATTTAATTCTCACTAACCAACTCTGGAATCAATAGGTCCAGTCATATTTTTGGATGAACCCCTCTCTATCTGAGTTCTTGCTACTGAGGAACCAAAAAAGCTCCAACATCAAAGGGATACTAGTACTACATATATAAAAACAGGAATATATATGATGCATACGCATGCATTTTTTTTTCCTGGAAGAACCCACAACAAAGTGTTAGACTTTCACTTTTTGGTGCCTTTCTGCATTATTTGAATTTCCTAACTCTACACATTTTTGAAAAGCCCAGATTTCTGAATTCTTAAAATTTTAAATTTTTGCACATTATTTTAAAACAACTGTCAACAGTTGTCAACAGAACACGGCATAGGGAGATAAATACCTTATTTTTAAACTTTGTACCTTTATGTAAGTAAAAGCCAATTAATAATTGCTGTTATTTTAAAAAATAAACATTGTGAGAAGGGCAAAAGGGGGGGGGGGCGATACAAAAAGAAACATCAAGTCCAATTCTTCAAATAGTAAAATCTCAGAAAATTAGATATTCTATGACCCCTAGGATTTCTCACTAGAGAAGGAAAGAAATATTTAGCAAGTGAACATAAAGTTGATGACTAAATATAAAAGATTATAAAAACTGCAGAAATATTTCCTAAATGTTTATTTTTCACACCATGAAGTTACATAGTACTCACCCAGCTTGGAAAATCAGACCAAGTTGGAACTCGCTGACAGAGGTCCCGGAGAATACGTATGATAATCACACAGGACTGCAGACCATTAGCTCTAGCCTTAAGAGCAACACAAAAACCAGGTGAATTAATCTTAGAAATACTGAAAATATCCCTTGATGAAAAAAAGTTAAAATACCACTGTTCAATGGAAGCTCAGGTAAAAATAAAACAAAAATAATCACACTTAAAATTGGATTCAATGAGCTGCCATTTACAGCAGTATTTTATGCCAGGGTTAGTATTTAAGAGCTGGTATTTTAGGTCAAAGTAAACAGATTATACAAGAATAATATTTCTTGATCCCCTGTGAACCTTGACCTGTGTCATTTAAAACAGTAAACTTAAAAAAAATCTGCCTACATTAGAAATAAAAGAAAAAGTAAAGAGCTAAAAAGTTTGTCTAGGGACTGAAAGGTTAAGGAAATCTGTTTGGTTTCCCTTCTGTGCCTTTGCATGACTGCAAAGTCACTAAACCAAACAGTTTCTTCCTCACCTTTCACTCCCTACACTTATTAACTTAGAGAAAGAGGGGGAAAAATCTTAAAATTATACACAAAGCTTTAAACACATATTCCATTATTTAAAGCAAAAGTTAATCTGCAGCCTTATGGAATATAATATATATACACAAACATGTGATGTTCCTAAACAAGTAAACTTTAAATATAGCTACTAAAAATGAAAATAAAAAAACCCAAACTACAAAACACCCCCAAAACCTAAGGTTATTGTCAAATTAATAGTAACTGCAATATGCAGATCTTCATACCCAGCTTTCTATGTTAACATATTTTCTGAGATTTAATTTAAAATAGTATTGCTTGGGCAATCTTTTGAAATGTTTAAGCACAGTTAAACATGTTGTACTGAACTACTCTCTCATAAGGCTACAAGAAAAAAGTAAAATGATGTTCCGAACCTGGAACCACTTAGCGTGGCGTAGAGCAGCCAGAGCGTCAAGGCATTTTTGCCTGTCCAAGACGTCCGGTGGGTCTTTCACCATACCCGAGGTTACATCTAAAATGGATTGAATTGGCAAAATGCAGTGAGGAATGGGTGTTTGACCAGGTGAGCAAGACACTTCCTTATAGTAGCATCAGTGTCACATGAGCCATTTGAGAGTTTACCGGCACATTAATGTACCCAGAGAATTATTTTCAACAAATTTACATAATCCAATGTGAAGATCAAAAGGAGAATTTAAACTCTTATAATAAATAGTTTCTCCAAATATAAACCCTACCCACCAAAATAAAAAGGGAGGATTACTGGACACAGCGCACCAGCACAAAGACAAGACAAGAGGGAACACAAAAATCCACCTTAATAAATGAAGAGTGTATGATAAACTATGAAGTTTGTTCAGTATTCTAAATGGTCATGTCATTCTGGGGCTCATATAGCAAAGAACTAATAATAAAGATGGATTTATCAATATAGTAATAATCAGAGAAAAATGAAGAGTCAAAGATAAGCATTTCTAAGAGATCAATACTTTCTCTCCTGCAAGGAAAATTTTAGCTTCAAGGGAATATGAAATGCTCTTTTAAAAGGTTACCATGAAATATTCCAAAGAATAAATGTAGAGGAACAATGGGTAAAGTGGAAAAGGGCAATAGGAACCAGCATGATTAAACAGAATACGTACAGAAAGGAAGAGATGCAGTAAAGTAAGCAGAATGCTTTGATGATAAACAATATGTATGGTCTAAAATTGTAATAACTGATTTTAATTAGATTATTGTATTAAAACATAAATGAGCTATCTAAAAACTTGAGGAGAAAACTAGAGACAAGAAGGTAATTTTATATTCATGATAGCTGGAGGGCCAGCTATGTATCCATCTATACATATCTGTAAAGTGTGTATAAAAATAACAGCATATCTGCTAATCAAACTAGCCAAAATAGCAACTAAGTCAATCTAATTCATAGCTCTTGGGTAATTTTAATAGTATAAATATTTTCTAAATACAGTATAATCATATACCAGGAAAGTAGTCTCTGGAATTTAACAGTCTTCTGGCTAAGTGCATCAGATGTATGCAGTACTTAAGATATAATTTAGGGGCACGTGGGTGGCTCAGTTGGTTGAGCGTCTGACTTCGGCTCAGGTCATGATCTTGGGGTTCATGGGTTTGAGCCCCGCATTGGGCTCTGTGCCGACAGCTCAAAGCCTGAAGCCGGCTTTGGATTCTGTGTCTCCCTTGTCACTGCCCCTCCCCCGCTCACACTCTGTCTCTGTCTCTCTCTCAAAAAATAAACGATAAAAAAAAATTTTTTTTTAAGATATAATTTAATAAATCATTGAAGGTACCAAAGGAGTATGAGGGTCAAAAGAAATATATGATAAAAGAAGTTAAAGTTGGTTTTAAGAGTACAGGGCCACTTTAGGTAAGTTATTTAATTGTATATCTTGTATGAGCATTCAGTTATCTTAAAAGACACTTGTCCTGGGTTGCCTGGGTGGCTAAGTCGGTTAAGCATCCAACTCTCGATTTCAGCTCAGGTCATGATCTCATGGCTTGATTTGTGTCGGGCTCTGCACTGACAACACGCAGTCTGTTTGGGATTCTCTCTGCCCTTCCCCCACTCTCTCCCTCATAAATAAACATAAAAAAAAAAAAAGACACTTGCTCTTATTCTGAATAGGTAACACATAAAAAACCTTATTTTAGAAATGGTATAGAAGTCTCTCCACTGCATGGGCTTTCTGTTCTTAATTCTTGCTCTTCAAATAATCAGATGATACAGATTTTTTTAGAAGACATGTTAGAACGGCGATTTACAGATAATCCAAGAACACTACGCCACACTACGCCACATTCTGAGAATTAACACTAAAAGAGGAATCTGAGTGCTAAAAAGAAACTGTCAAGACAAAATATTAGTGTTAAAAAAAAAACAGTGAACGGGGTGGGGCGCCTGGGTGGCTCAGGTGGTTAAACGTCTTAGACTTTGGCTTAGATCATGATCTCGCACTTAGTGAGTTCGAGCCCTGTGTCGGGCTCTGTGCTGACAGCTGAGAGTCTGTAGCCTGCTTTGGATTCTGTGTCTCCTCTCTCTGCCCCTCCCCTACGTGCACTCAGTCTCTCTCTCAAAAATAAGCAAACATTAAAAAATGTTTTAATATTTTAAAAAAACAGTAAATAATCCTAAAACCTGTAAGACCTACTACTAACGTCAGAAACATACTGACCATTAGAAATGGGGCTATTCTGAGATAAGGAAAAGGGACACAGGAAAGCACAGCTAACTAAAGAAAAAGAAAGAAAAAAAGAAACAAGAAACCACTCCTCAAAGCAAGATTACAGAACTGCTGAAGGATCCTCTTTCCATGTTCCCTTATTTACATTATTTGTTAAAGCTAGAATGCAAATAGGTGACAATGTGCAATCTCTTTCTAAAAAGTTTCTGAATTTCTAAATGTTATTTTTACAATGTTATAATTTCCTCCAAAATGTAAGAAAATTTCTCTTTTAGCACACATTCATAACTTTGAAAATTTTAATGACAATTTCAAAGATGCCAAGACACCTATTGCAATTTAAAAACAAATTAAGAGCTGTAAGTAGGAAGTTTCTGTTAAATTTAGAGTGTGGATTTTTGCACCCATTTTATATTTCAAGTGGATTAACCCCTTAGGTATACTGTACTAAAAACAAAACAAAACAAAAATCATACTTGTTGCTTAATACCCAGTTAACAAAACTCAGTTAATTTAAAAAAAAAAAAAAAAGGCAAATTCTTACCCTACATAAATGTATTTCATAAATTTTAAGGGGTTAATCACCAGTTAGAAGACATGCTGTGTCCACACTACTTTATGATTAAAAGTTAATGGGAATGTATTAATTTAAATTAACATGGTTATATAAAATATATAATCCACCCACAACCATTTAAAAACTAGTGTGAACACTGCTCAATTCTAAATAGACAAAGACAAAACAAACAAAACAGCCACACAAAGGACAATAAATGCCAGACTCTGCATCCAAAAATCCCTCCTTAATCAAATGGCAGGTGTGACACTGAGCTTTTGAAAACCTTGGTCAAAAATCCTTCCGATGTCTTGGCAGCAACCCCTGACAGGAATCAATCCCCTCTGCTAGAAGGCTTTGGACCGGGCCTGATAAGCTACAGGTGGAAAAAAACACACACAATACTTGTCTTGCTGCAGAAAAGACTCTGTAGCAAGGGTTAGAGCATTTCGAACATTTCAAGCTTCAAGTCAATTAACTGTTAACTTAATGTTTAACTGCCAAACACAGTACCATAAAATAGATCTGTCATGCGTTTAACAGTTATTTGGGCAATTTAATAATTTCTTTTAAGTAATTTAAAGATAATTTTTGGTATTAACCAGGACCGTTAAAGAGGCTACCACACTGCGCAAGTCTTGAGATTTATAATTGCTCTTCCGGCAAAGCCTTCCTTACCCTCTGGACTAACTCCCCAAAGCAAGCTATAGGCTTTACGTGATTTTAAGACACAGAGCATTGGGAGCTGCAGTGAGAGAGAATACATACCGTTATTCTGCAGCAAGAAAGAAGCAATCTTCATAATGAAGCTAAAGACATAGTTTACTGCAGTTATCTGCAGCAAGGAACACTCTATCAATGTTTCTACAGTTTTTGCACATCCAACTTTTCAGCTCAGTGTCTTGAAGTAAAATCTTCCAATTTTGGACTGATCATTTCTCTCACCAAAGTATTTATGAAATCCAGAACAGTAATTCTAACTCAAGTCTGGGTCAGACAAAAATATAATTTTGTTTCCTTTAGAAGGGATGAGTTATCAAAGACTACCACAAATGCGATATGAACTTTAGACTTTTGCAACATAATAAAATGACTTGATATTGCACAAATTTAACTACAGTTAAATATAATTAGATAAAATGTGCTCTGAAATAGTTAAATGGTTATATGAATATAATTTCATCCTAAATATAGCAACTTTTATTTATATCATATTAGAATTTTTCCCCCAAATCCTAAGGGTCATATGTTGCATATGAATTGACCAGATTGACTCAGGAACTGTTTTTCTAGCAATATCCACAGCTAGACCTTGAGTGGAAACTCATGTTCATAGAAAAGATCCTTTTCACAAAACCCATTTATTTTTAAGACGCAAAACTTTTACAACATACAAGCCCTGATATGGTATACATATGAAGTATATATATGAGACATGTCTCCCAATGACTACATTTTAAATAAAGTGTTCTCTTCCTGGGTTGTGGAAAGCCCAGTGCCTTAAAAAAATTGTTTTGCTGTAAAAAAAAAAAAAAAAACAAATTTAAAGGGACTACAACTAAGAGCCTAATCATGCTATTTTAGACAAGTTAATTTTAATATTCAATATATAGTATTTTCTCTTCTCCTTTATCACAAAGAAATATTAGTGTAGACTAACTCCATACTCAACAAGTTAAGATGTACAAAAACAACATGAAAGGAAACAAAGTAAATTTTATCTGACCCATAAAACAACAGAACCAACATAAGGCAGACACTGACCATGCTTTTTGGCTTAAAAGCTTTCGAAGCTTTGAAAATGTTATAGAACAGTCCCTAAAGCAACATTGCTGGCACCAGCAGGATTTCATATTCTACAATTGTAAAGTAAGTTTAAAAACCCTGAATTGTACTAGAACTTACTAACTACACCTACACCATTTATTTTTCAATATATCTAGTATAATAATATTGGGATCAAACGCCCAAATCTATGTGCATTAGGATGCTCTGCATTTATTAAAACTCTCCAAACCAAAGAGCAACCTCAGAGAACTAGAAGTATTTACCTGAGGACAAGCCAAATCCATGATTACACTTATAACAATGCCTCTTAAAGTATAAGCATTACAAGTATTAAACCAATTTTATTTATGAAACTCTCTTGTCTTTTTTGTAAGACAAGGCAAGAACAAGAACTTCTTAATAGAAGTTAAATTTGTGGCCCCTTACTACCAACATTTCTTTAATTTTTTTCATGTGTCCACTATGTCAGCAAGAATAATTTTGAACTTTTTTTTTTCCAGAAATCTGAGGTTAGCAAGAAAAGAAAAAAATTAGAAAATCAACAATACCATGAATGTTTTATGTAAAAGTACATTACTAAAAACATTTACTTTCTGGGAAGTGATCTTAAGCAAAACTGGTTGCTATAAGTCAAATCTATCAAATTCATATTTAATGCCAGCATGTTGCCTTCTAGGGCTTAATGCCATCTTAAAAGAGTAGATAAATGAAAAAAAAAGTTAATAGAAAAGTAGAATGCTTAATGGCTTTCCAACCTCCTTCCCTCATGTTCTCCTCTCGAATAATTGGAGATGTCAGGGTGATAGTGACTTGCATTTTGGGTTCCACACATGAATTCAAAATTATTGCCGCTTCAGACACAGCACATTTTATGTCATACTTCTCAGGACTTATAACCTATGTAATGAAAAGTACAAACAAATTAGTTGGACCTTTTACATTATCAGACAAAGCAATTTCATTATGGATCTTTCATTTTCTCGGTACCTCAAGCATTTTACTTTAAAAAATTTTATTTTTAAGTAATCGTTACACCCAACATGGGCCTTGAACTTATAACCCCAAGTTCAAGAGTTGCATGCTCTACTGACTGGGCCAGCCAGCTGCCCCTCCCTACCACAAGCATTTTAAAAGTTGATAATATACTACTTCCTCCAAGAAGCCTTGCAATAATGCAAATATCATTAGTTTCTCACTATACTTTCCTTTTAGAATTACCATTATTTGTATCATGAGTTATGTGGATATGTCCCTCTTAGATTATGAATTCTTGGGTAACAGAAACACTGCTGTATTTATTATTGTACCTTCCAAATAGCACCGGAGTAGCTAAGTACTTGCACATTTGCAGAATTTGACTGAAACTTAAATAGATATTTGAACCTAACAGAAGCATAATTCAACCTTTCCCATTGTAAATTGTGAAATCAACAGATCTATATTTCATCAGAGAGCAAAAAGTCTTTATTAACATCCACAAAACCAGGAATCACTGAAATTTGGAAGATATTTAATAAGCCCCAGTTTACATTAATGAATGAAGACTACAGAAATTATACTGTTTATATTTATAACATAGTATCTAAATTCAAATTCTAGCTGTTACTTTACTAGTGATGTGAACATGGGCAAATTATTTAACTCCTCTGTTTCTGTAAAATGGGGACTGTAATTTTACCTAACCTATAGAACCATTGGAGGACAAAATGAATTAACTACATAAAGCACTTAAAATAGTGCCTAGTACATACTAAGTATTATATAAATGTCAACTCTGACAATGATAATGATGAATTAATTCTGTTTCTTTTGTTTATCCACTTGTATAAAGTACAGACTGATTTGGAAAGAGTATTCTGCTTTTAGCCTAAGTGCCTGATTATTTCCCTAGGATATATTTCCTGTGTTGTAGTTTTACTAAGCATCACAATTAATATCAAGATGTTTCTTGCAAGTTACATAATTCTCTCAAAGTCCTCAAACCTTTTTCTCTCCCCCCGTTGTGCACCCCACTGCCCTTGCAGCCTCAACAGTGGAATAAGAAGTAGATGCACAATGCTAATTCTGCTGGTTCCTAATACTTAAAAGTATTAGTTGCTTTGCTGTTGTCAGGCAGTATTTATTCTGACTCACTGCTGTAGAATACATATTATCAATGAAATGTCAATCCTTGGATTTAGAATGCCTAATTAAATTGCAAGGTTTTGAAATAAATTTTATACATTGAATTATTCAAGGATATTTATTTTAAATCTTAATCTGAGATTCTGACAAACTAATGTATAAAACTTGAAACAAAAAAAGTTTGCTTTTGTAAGACCAGAAGGGGGTATGCTACTAATTGTGCATTGCCATAACTTAGTGGACACAGATAGGAGAAGTAATTCCTACCATCATAAACACAGAAAACCAAAACAAACAACAACAACAAAATATATCAAACACAATAAAACGGAGGAAATTCAAACTGGAAAGACTATTTCTTATTATATTTTATTAAAAACATGCATTCAGTTAAATAGGCAAAAGATTCATGAATTTTCAAAACTTAAGCTTGCAATACAGGGTCTTTATTTAAAAAAGAAAGAAAGGGGCGCCTGGGTGGCGCAGTCGGTTAAGCGTCCGACTTCAGCCAGGTCACGATCTCGCGGTCCGTGAGTTCGAGCCCCGCGTCAGGCTCTGGGCGGATGGCTCAGAGCCTGGAGCCTGTTTCCGATTCTGTGTCTCCCTCTCTCTCTGCCCCTCCCCCGTTCGTGCTCTGTCTCTCTCTGTCCCAAAAATAAATAAACGTTGAAAAAAAAAAAATTTTTTTAAAAAGAAAGAAAAACCATTTTCTGTCCTATAACAACTGCCTTCTCTCCTATGCTTCAAATCTTGGAAAAAGAACAGGAAGAAGACATGTGCTAAAATTTAACATTTTTAAATAAATTAGCAGGATGGCTTCATGTCAAATACAAGCACTATAAAACCTAAAAAGACAAAGTAGAAAATAGTTCTGCCAGTTTGCACAACCAAGCAAAAAACTCAATATGGAAAGTCAAGCCAATAATTTAAAGGCTGGCTTAGGTTTAGGCTAAAGCACAGTTAGTCCTGCCAAAAACTTCTGAACTAGACAAGGGGTAAAAATGAACATTTCCATAATACTTACAGCAAGCTGTTTGGGTAGGTTTTCTGCAATACGGCTTAATAATGTCTTTGAAGGTTTCTCAGAGCACAGCAAAACAAGGTTGACATTTCTATCTCCTCGGAGAAGTAATCCTTTTGCCAATACTCCCACTCGCAAAACTCCTTTTAAAGCTCTGCAGTTAAATCAAATTATATTATGACATTTCTCTTCTCAACCAGAGCCATCATAATATCTACACAATAGTAAATCAAATATTTTTTACACTATCAAAAGTTTCATCAACTACAGTATAAAGATGAATTCAATATTATTAAGAAGTATACTTCATTTAGGTAAGAAATATGGATAAATAAATGAGGAGCTAAGTTCTCACAGGGACAATTTCAAAGAACATTAACATTTCTGTCTCACTTTATAAATTAGAGTCATGTTTAATATAAAAATATTTCCAAATGGTAAAAGGAAAATGAGAGGTTATTGAGAGGTTATATGCAAAACTGATATGAAAGATACTCCTAAAGCTTAAGCTTCTTTATGCTTTATGGTCAATGCATTAAGGAAAAAAAGTTGCTAAAACAAAGACTGAAAATGGGACAGATGCAACACATAAAAACTGAAGAGCAGCTGAATCCAATTACCAAGGCTGCTTTGAAAACAGACTCAAAATAGTTTTATACAAATTTCAATAAAATGAGTAAAATCACAAGGTTGGAGATTCTAAGGAACTGTGCATTTCTCATTTTAGCAAACAGCAGCTGAATACATTAAATATCTGACCAAGCAAGATAAGACATGTACATTCACACCAGAGAGTTTTTCAGTCTTTGAAACTTTTTATTTCAGGTGTAAGAAGCCCATGTAAAGAAAACAAAAATATGCAAAGTAAATAACTCTGAAAACACACCTGTCTTTACCTCCCTCTTTTTTATCATCTCCCTCTTTGCTCTTACTCTTCTCATGTTCAGACAAACTGTCTGAAACAAGTTTTAAAGCACGTTCAGTGATAGAAACAATTTTCTGAACTGCTTGTAATTCTTCTTCAGTTGGATAAATGGTTGCGTGTTTTGTCATTACATAACGGTCATCAGAGGAGTCAGGACGACGTAAAGGCTAGAGAAAAAAAAGTTACTTCATTTAAAAACGATGTTTCCTGGGCAAAAATAAACTATTTTTCAACTCTACATGTTTTTCGTATCTTTTTAATAAGAAAAGACAATGATGCCAAGTGTCTATTTAAAATTATCTTCTCTTTTTCCATTTCAGTAAAAACAAAAATGCAAACTATGGAAAGTTATACTATCAAGAGTATGTATCTCTATATGTATATATGCTTTGCCTAAACACCAGATCTAAGGTTATGAAAATATTTTTTACTCAATTTTAAAGACCAGTGGTTGTGACACTTTTTTTTTTTTTTTGGCTTTGATAAAACAGGTCTTACAAATGCTTATTCTGTGTAAAGACAAATGAGAAAGAGAATTGGTTAAATAAAGAGGAGGAATTTGCTGTGCTCTCTGGACAACTGAACAAAACAAAATCCTCTTGTTTTTTGTAATCTAAACTTCTATGAAATGTTCTTCATAACCCAGGAGTCTCTTCTTTTACAGCTTCCATGGAACACAAACTCTCAAGATGCATATTTTTCCTATAGTTTCCCTAATACATCAAGTGTGATGCTCATGTGGAACCATTTACCTACCCCTTATCCTGTACTCAATTCAGAAGTAGTAGTAGGTTTTAGATGGTCAGGATTCAAAGAAGGAAAAAAAAAGATTCTTAACAACTGGTAATGGGAAGGTAATAATTTTGAAGGCAAAGCAGCTGCCTTCAAAATTGGTTGCTCTTGCTGATCTCAAGAAAAACAAAGGATAGAAAATCTCTAATGTTAAAGAACAGTTGATCAAGTTCAGGGCGCCTAGGTGGCTCAGTTGTTTAATGTCTGACTTTTGATTTTGGCTCAGGTCATGATCTCATGGTTTGTACGATCGAACCCTGTGTTGGGCTCTATGCTGACATTATGGAGCCTGCTTGGGATTCCCTCCTCTCTCTCTCTCTCTCTGTCCCTAGCTTGCATGGGTGTGCTCATTCGCTCTCTGTCAAAATAAACCTTAAAAAAGAAAAAGAAAAAAAACAAGCTCTTCTCCTGTATAGCTTATACTGAAAGTAAGAAAGACTCATGGAAACTCTATCAACTCCTTATATATAAAGCATGAGTTGGGAACCTGTTAACAAAAAAAAAAAAAAAAAAAAGGAGGGAAAATTCTGTATCAGATGAAAAACTTACATTGAGATTATGAGACTATTAAATCTAAGCATTAGCCCCCCAAACTGTTATCCTGTAATACTGAACCAATCTTACACGTTCACCCCCTATGTAGACAAAGTGGATACTCACTGCAGGCCCCTGTGGCTGAGGAGGCATGCCTGGTCGGACTCCCAGAAGGCCTAATGGGCCTGGGGGACCGTGAGGATAGCCTCCATCAGGCATTCGGCGGCGATCATCCCAATGGTGTTGTTCTTCCTCCATTCTTCTCCAGTACATGTCCTCTTCGTAACGTCTGAAAATACAGAATAATGCTACAAGCCTCAGAGAAATACACCCCAATAACTTACATCAATAATGACAAAAAGCACAATTAAAAAAAACCTTCCCAAATCAGCCTACCTAATGCCTTTTTTCCACTACTGTATCTAATGTCCTTCATTTGCTTCCATCTATAAGTAAGGAGGCAAATATGAGTGAAGAGGTGAGAAAACAAAGAGAAAAGCAACACAAAATTTCATAGCCTGATGTCAAAGTTGAGGAAGCAAACACCAGAAACCTCAGAGTTCCTTCCAATCTCTCCCTCTTTAAGGGCAAGATGGTAAACTTAAATGGCTACCTCAAATGGCCAGACCAGTAACATGTGTGAAAGACTTGAAGCACACATTCAAGAATTTTCTCTCTCCTATTTTCTCCTTAGAATCTCTTTTATTAATGTTTATTTATTTATTTTTAAGAGAGACAGAGCACGAATGGGAGAGGGACGGAGAGAGAGGGAAACACAGAATCTGAAGCAGGCTCCAGGCTCTGAGCTGTCAGCATGGAGACCAATGTGAGGCTTGAACTCAAGAACTCTGAGATCATGACCTCAGCCGAAGTCGGATGCTTACCTACTGAGCCACCCAGGCGCCCCTGGAGAGAATCTCTTAAGACTATTTTTAATCTCCCCATTTATGACACAGGCAGAGACAAAGACATCTGTACACTATGAGGAAAAACAACAGTGCAAGACAGTGATAAATGGCAACTCACATTCTGTCTCATTTTGGGGGATATATATATTAACAGTGGAGAGGACTACGGTAAAGTAGAAAGCACATGTTCTGGCTAGACAGAACAGCTGCCACCCAGCCTCTATTAATTATTGCTATAAGGGAATAAAGATTGCAATCCCCAAATCATCAAGATTTTATTAACAGCTTTCAGTATCTTTAATGTTGGTTCAGATTAAAAATACCATGTATACCAAATAAAACACCCATGGGCTGAACTTGGGACTGCAGGCAGCTAGTGTATAACTTCTGCTTTAATGGTCCTCTTCAGAATCTAACTTCTTTTTTATTATCTCACTTTCTCCGAGTTCTATCTTCACTTTTAGCTTTATACTATCACTTTATACTGTGATATCAATAACTCCCAAGGGAAATCATGTCTCTAAAGTAAATTTTGAGAGGCAACTGGGTGGCTCAGTTGGTTAAGCAACCAACTCTGGCTCAGGTCATGATCTCAGTTTTGTGAGTTTGAGCCCCACATCGGACTCTATGCTTGTCAGCGCACAGCCTCTATTCTTCTTACTCTCTACCTCTCCCCAGTTCTCTCTCACAAAAATAAACAAACATTAAAAAAAAGAAAATTCTGATAGCAATAAGGTTTTGGTAGATAAATTTATTAAATATAAAACATTAAGAAAGAAGTATGCTTCTCAAGTCGCTCTGCAAAAATTACCAATTTCCTCAGGTGGGGAATAAGCTGTGCTTTTTAGGTCATCTGACTTAGAAGTATAGAAACATACTTCTCTATTATTTAGGTCTTGGAAGAAAAATGAATCACAACAAGCTGAAGGCTCTGGAAAACCACATACATACCAATTTTGAATAGTTTTTTGTTATTACTGAAGAGAAACATTTAAGTTATATAAGGGCAGGGATTTTTTTATCCACTGTTTACCAATTCATACTCAGTGTCTAACACACTATGTGCAATTTCCTAGCATATCGTAGGTGCTTAATAAATATTTATATGCAAAGGAAGAAAAGCTGCGTAATCTAAGTACAAAGAATTTCTAATACATTACAAAGGCAGAGTATTCATTAAAAAATGAGAATGATATATTTAAATACACTTAAAAGCCTGGGTGGCTCAGTTGGTTAAGCCTCTGACTTAAGCTCAGGTCATGATCTCACAGTTCATGGAGTTCGAGCCCCTGGTCGGGCTCTATGCTGACAGCTCAGAGCCTGGAGCCTACTTCGGATTCAGAGTCTGCCTCTCTCTCTGCCCCTTCCCTGCTCGCGCATGCTCACGCTCTCTCTCTCAAAAAATAAACATTAAAAAAAAACAACACTTTTTTAAAATAAAAAATAAAAACACATAACAGCAAAACCTAAAGGTCACATGCTAATAATAGGCTATTACAATATAGTAATCTATAGAAATCAACAACAGGTAAATAAAAAAATAAAAAGTGAATAGGCAATTACCACAGAAAAAATACAAGTCCTCGAACAGGAAATAAAATTCAATTTGTGGGGTGCCTGGGTGGCTCAGTTGGTTAAGAGTCAGACTTCAGCTCGGGTCATGATCTCAAGGTTCATGAATTCGGGCCCCACTGTCGGGCTCTGTGCTGACAGGAGCCTGTTTTGGATTCTGTTTCCCTCTCTCTCTGCCCCTACCCTGGCCCCGCTTGTGCTCAGTCTCTCACTCTCTCAAAAATTAACAAACATTAAAAAAAATTTTTTTTAATTCAATTTGTGAAATAACAAGTGTTGGCAAGGATGTAGAGAAAGGATGTAGAGAAAAGGAAACCCTTGTATACTGTTGGTGGGAATGTAAATTGGTATAGCCACTGTGGAAAAGGTATGCAGGTTCCTCAAAAAGTTAAAACAGAAATACCTTATGATCCAATAATTCCACTACTTGGTATCTACCCAAAGAAAATAAAAACACTAATTTGAAAAGATAATGCATCCCTATGCTTATTGCAGCATTATTTTTAACAGTCAAGATATGGAAGCAACCTACGTGTCCACTGATACACAAATAGGTAAGGGAGGTTTGGCACACACATGCAAAATATTATGCAGCCATAAAAAAGGATAAGATAGTGCTGTTGCAACATGGATGGATCTAGAAGGTATTATACTAAGTGAAAAAAGTCAGACTGAAAAAGACAAAATACCCTACGATTTCACTCATGTGGAATCTAAATAAAGACAAATGAAAAAACAGACAAAAAGCTAATTCAGACATATAAATATAGAGAACTGATTTTTGCCAGAGGGGAAGGGAATGGGGAAATAGGCAAAATGGGTATAGGGAGGTGGGAGATACAGGCTTCCAGTTATGAAATGAGTTAAGTCACAGGAATAAAAGGCATAGCTTAAACCACTGGAATTATACTACTCAGTAAGGCAAAAAGTACAGGTCTCCTTCAAACAAGTATTTCTGTTTCTGGGATTTTATTATTAGCAACCAATCATGTTTTATGCAATAATACAACCTCAAAGATTGTCAATGTAATGATTAAAGACACAATGGAAACAATGTAAATATCTAACAACATGAGAAAAATTATAAAGAAAATTACACATCTATATGAGAATACTATGCTGCCCCGAAAATAAAGATACAGCTTCATTTTTTAAAAAGTTGACATATAAATGAAAAAAGTAGGTTATAAAAGTGATACATTGTGGTTCTGTTCCTGTTTTCTGAAATTGTATTTTAAAACTTGTACACAAAAACTCCTAGCAACAGTATTCATGATAGCCCCAAAGCAGAAACAACACAAACGTCTACCAACTGATAAATGTTATACCTCCATATAATGGAATATTATTCAGCCATGAAAGGAACAAAGTACTGACACATGCTATAACATGCATGAACCTTGAAAACATTGTGCTAACCAAAAGTAGGTAGACAAAACAGTCCACATATTGTATGATTCCATTTATATGAAATCTCCAGAATAAGTCTATAGACAAAGTATATTGTGGTTGCCTGGGGGTAAAGGCTGGAATTCCGGGGAAAATGGGGAGTGACTGCTAATGGGTTTTGTGGTTTCTTTTGGGGGTGATAAAAATGTTCTAAAATTGATTGTGGTGATGGTTGCACAACTCTGTGAACATTACTTAAAAAACACTGAATTGTACTATTTAATTTTTTCGAGTAAGCTCTACACCCAATGTGCAGCTTGACCTCATGACCCCAAAATCAAGAGTCACATGCTCTACTAACTAACTGAGCCAGCCAGGCGCCCCTGAACTGCATTATTTAAAGATATGTCAGTTATACTAATAAAACCAAACATTTATATATCTCCAGAAGATGAATTTTCTCCTTTCTCCTTCCCTGTAGCCTCTAAAGCTTTTTAATAGAAATTTCTTTGAAACAAACAAACCCACACTTTATTTATGTCTAGAATCTACCAAATCTTATACTCAGGATATTTTTATTATGTAACCAAAGGTTCTGTTTTGTTTTAAACAGACGCCATTTACTTATAATATTATAATATTAAACTTATAATATTAAATATAATAATTAAACTTATAATATTACTTATAATATTAAACTACTTTGGGGCACCTGGTTGGCTCAATCAGTAAAGCATGTGACTCTTGATTGTGGGGTTGTGAGTTTAAACCCCATGCTGGGTGTAGAGTTTATTTTAAAAAAGAAATCTATAAATCTATATATACATAATATTAAACTATTTCTTCACATATTTAATATATATAAGGTACCACTTACCACATAATTCCTAATACCAAGGTCACGGTCAAATACTAGAATAGTCAATAAGTTAATTTTAATGCATTTCTTTCCTAGACCTAGGATCTTCCTGAAAAGTGAAAATTAAAAGTGCATTAAACAAATCTGGATTGCTTTGAATGGGAGTCACATACTCAGAATAGCTGTTTTTTAGAAAGGCTGAACCACTCACTATCATGTTACTAGAAGTTAAAGATATTACCTCATTTCCATTCTCCAACGTTCTTCTTCTTCTCGTCTTCGCCAATACTCCTCTTTCTGCATTTGCTTCCTCATTTTCTCTTCTTGAATCTTCCTGGCTCGAATACTGGGCTTTACTTCTACTTGTAAATCTGGATTTACTTTTTTCTGTTAAAAAAGACATTTAAAAAATTAGCAGCCCCTCTAACAATCTATACATATTATTGAATCATACAATCCTACATATTCCTTCATCATAGAGGCTTTCAGTTTCAAATTTCCTATTATAAGAGTAAGATCAGTAAATAAGTTGTATTAGAGAAAAGATTCAGAATACATTAATAAACATTCGTTTTCCCCTCCCACACCCCCAAATTCTTACTTGTCCAAACTTATGACGACATACTTCTTACATAAAAAGTACATAACTTAGTGCTAACCAACTGAAGAAATCTTTAGGGAACTAATGGCTATTTAATTTTCCTTTACTTGTTTGTGAGTAGATGATTCTAAACGTTTGAGTGTTGGGGTTAAAAAAACAACTATTTTAATTTTCACCACCTCTGTGTTTAGAAGGGAAAACATGAATCTAGTGCATCAGTCTAGCCTAATTAAAAACTTTAGGGGGCGCCTCAGTGGCTCAATCAGTTGAACATCTGACTTTGACTCAGGTCATGATCTCACAGTTCAGTTGATGAGTTCGAGCCTGCGTCATGCTTGCTACTGTCAGCTTGGAGCCTGCTTTGGATCCTCTGATCCCCTCTCTGTCTGCCCCTCACCTACTCATGCTCTCTCTCAAAAATAAATAAAAATATTAAGCAAAACTTTAAATAGATGATTTGTATTTAACTTAACACTTAACAAGTTTTCAATGCAGAATTTCTCATCTCAAAATTCATCTTAATGAGAATTCTACCAAGACAGAGAAGGTAAATGAAGACCTGGTACTTCTTTCAAAACACTTTATGTGAAGCAATTATCTGTATTTACATATTACTGGATCCAAGCAATGTTACAAGTCACTAAAAGTGATGAAATATGGTTATACTGTTCTTACCTAAGTATAACAAACTAATCAGTAAAAACAAACATCTGAATCTGAGACATGATATGCTGTTAAAATCGAAGTTCACAAACTGTGTGCATTATGTTTAGATGCTTTGTTTTCCACATAGAATGTTCCAAGCTGTGTTTAAAAAAAAAAAAAGTTGAAATCTTACTCACTTTATATTGAAGTCTGTGTCTTCGCCCTTTTAAGTGCATCTCCTTAGCATTGGGATCATTAAAACTGCACTCACATAATTTACAATGGAATCGAATTACTTTTCCTTCATCATTTCGTACCTTGACACAGGGAGAAAAAAAAACAACAAAAACCCAAGAATCGTAACAGGTATGCTACAGTTGAAGATTTCATTCACAAACCTTCACAGATTCTGTGATAAGAAAATGTTGTAAACAATTAAGAGTTTGAAGTAGGGGAAAAATAAGAGACAATGTCTATAATTTTTTGAAAGGATAACCTATAGAAATGAATTGTTAAAATTCTTAACTGTAAGATGCAAGATGTGTTAGCATGTATTTGCTTTTGATATTAACTTTAATTTCAGCACTTTTATCCATGTGCAAACATTTAGATTTAAATGCAATTGGCTAGGGGTGCCTGGGTGGCTCAGTCAGTTAAGCGTCCAACTCTGATTTCGGCTCAGGTCATGCTCACAGTTGTGAGATCAAGCCCTGCCTTGGGCTCTGCACTGGGCATGGAGTCTGATTATGACTCCCTCTCTTCCTCCCCCACTTGCACTTTCTCTCTCTCATGAAAATAATGAGTAAATTTAAAAAAGGAAAAAAGTGTCATTGGATAATATTTCTCTAAGGTGTCCTGGCCATGTATATTTCTTTAGATAACCAAATCTTACTCTCTTAAGATCTGTACTTTTAAAATTGTGATCTACTTATAAACTACACATTCTAGTTTTCTATCTGGTGAACAAAGAAGACAACAGAATACATAATTTTTTTTTTGATGGGAGAAAAAAATGAACAAATATTTACCAAAAACCTACTACATGCTAGGCGCTATTCTAGGTACTTTATTTAATCTTCACAACTTTGCAAATATCCAAGTTTTACTGATGTGGACACTGAAGCTCAGAGAACTTACATATGTTCTACAACACAGTGAAAGTAAAGAGTAGTGCTATACCACTCTATGTTGGGCCTTTTGCTAACAGCAAATATTTTATTAGACCCTCTGACTTTCCCTCTTTCCTCAATTTCCTGAGTTTAGCTATAAAACCAGAAGCTTTCTTACCAGCTTGAGAAACCAAATAAACACGATCTGTTAAATCAGCACCTTTAATTTTACACGTGAAACTACGTGACTGTTCAGAAAGAAATACTGGCTCTCTGTCAATATTTTCACTGCTCACAATTTTTTTTTTTTTTTACTCTTATTTGCAGGACACTTGGAAGGATACAAGAATGCCTACCAAACAAATGGAACGTTACCTTCTATCACAGTGATGGTGTTGGAAGGGAAAGAGAGAAGTTAAAAAAATCATGGTATCACTTAGGCAAGCTTCAAAGGCATGTTTTTTAAAAACCTTTAACAATAATACCTACCATATTATATTCCTTCATAAGTAACCTAAATCTAATTTTAGACTTAAAGCATGCCTGCAACAAAGTCACACACTTCTCTCCTATATCTAATCTCACAGGAACGGTATTCTCAAATCAATACCTCTTCCACATAGTCATGCCCTACTGGCTGCACATCGCTCTGCAAAGCAGCAAGAGATGCAGGTGTGACTGGTTCTGACACGGTGTCCGGCTTTACTTCTGGAATCTGTACAGAGGTGACAGGAGTGCTTTTAACACATTCAGTTCCTTTTAAGTCTTCTGTTTTATTTCCTGTTGATTGCAACTTATTCCCACCTGGAAGAACATAAAAGAATTACAGTAATTTTAACTTTCTTTTTGTGTAAATGTATAATCTGATACAGGAAAATTTTCAGATAAAGTTCTTATTTTTTCTACCGATAGTCAAACTCCTGGTGACATCCATCAGAATTTTGAAGAACATATAAACCATTTGGCCTTTTTATCCTATTAATGAAATAAATACACGTCTGGATTTTGCCCTTCTCCACCACCCAAGGATCCTCTCCATCCCCACCAGGACTCTACTAACATCAAGTACCTAAAAGTGAACAGCAAGTACCTAAAAAGGTAGGGTCTAAACTTAATTCATGTTTGTAACCCCAGTTCCCTCCCAACTGGGCAATGCCCTAAGTTCTGGTGATATAAGAGTAAGACTGTGTAGCTGCCTTTGAGGTGCCAACAATTTAAGAGAAGACACAAATAATTACAATACAATGTGGTAACTGCTATAATAAGTAGAAATACATTATGGGAATGCTTAAAAAAAAAAAAAAAGAGCCACTCCCCTCTAACATGATTCAGTTAGGAAAGGCTTCACCAAGGGTGTGTCCCTTGAGCTGTGCTTTGAAAGAAGAGTAACAAACATGAACTTGGCCAGGCAGAAAGAAGAGAATGATGTTTAAATAGAACACCACGTACAACAACACAAAGTTTAAAAGACTATGATAAACTGAAGGAAGACATCAGCATCAATTACTAGACAGACAGAGGTGATGACCTATGAGGCAGGGGTCAGATTGTGAAGACTGTGGGATGACATAAATAAGGAATATAACTTTTTCTGATATGCCAGAAGGTCAGTGAAAATTTTTAAGCAGGAAACTAACACAACTTGACACATATTTTAACAAAATAACTTTGACAAGCATTGGAGACTGGACACAATCAGAGACAAAGCTCTGAGGAATAGACTTTGAAGGCCTAAAAACAAGGCAGTAGCTATGAAGAAAAACTGACATTTTTTGTAGAGATACTGTGGTGACAGAAATAAAAGAACTATGTACACAACTGAAGGAGGCAATAAACAAGCGGAAATAACGTCAGTGAAGTTTTCCATGTGAAAAAAGCAGCAAACTGAACAGATTATTTCATGGTATTCTTGTGACAGAATGAGACACTGGTTGGCCATAGAGAGCCACACAGATAATGACCAGGTAATTCCTACAAATAGCTCTAAAAGGTGGCAGTTTTGAGTTTGCCCGAAAGATTTCAAAGTTCCTGTACAATGGAGTGAATGAGACAACTTGAGAACACTGGGTGACTAGAGAGGAGAGCCAGAATCACAATCTTAGGAGCACCGCCATTTAATGAACTTGAAGGCAGGAGAACCGATAGAGACACCTGAGAAAGAGGTGGGTGGACATAGGAGAGACTTTAACGCTGTAAGATATAGCAGTCAACTGAGCAAGTATTACAGAGGTCAACAAGTTGAGACTGAAAACTAGCCACTAGATTTGGCAATTAGGTCTTTAGTGACTTCTGAAAGTGGTTTTAGAAGAATAGAGTGGAAACACTAAGACTAAGGACTAGAAAAAAAGCATAGAAGTAGAGAAAGTAAGAATTAGGTTGCAGCTTGAGAAGATTATAGTAATAAGACAATATATATTTTTTAAGACTACAGAAGACACAGGGAAACCTGTATGACTATAAGGAAGAAACCATTAGAAGATTGAGGACTGCTTAAAAATTCAAGAGAAAAGAACAGGTATGTGATTAAAGAAGGTCCCAGAGAAGAAAGGAGGAGATGGATACAAGAGCATAAAGCAGATGGGTTAGTTCTGGAATGGAGAAGAAACATCACTTTGACAGAGTTAGGAGGAACACAGAGAATCTTCAGTACTTGCCAACAAAGTTTATTTTGGGTGTAGAGGTTTTCTTGGCAGCCATATTTGTAGGCACTGCTGATACTTTAGTGTTGGATGTGCTATTAAGAGACGAGTTTCCTGTAGTTGTAAGACCTTTCACTGAAGAAGTTGCAATTGATGAAGTATTCACAGTACAATTGCTTGCTGCAATGCTTGAGGGAGAGGCAGTTGGTTTTGAAGCAGACACAGCTGTTGAAGAAGTAGCTTGGCTAACAACGTTTGGTTCTGTTGAAGGAATGGGTTTACCAAGTTTTGTGTGTAATTTAACCACCTACAAAATAAAAGCACATTTGTCAGGAAACTCAAAAAGTGTAGATTTTTGAGTTTGTCTAAAAGATTTTATACAATGAAAATCTGAACTATATTTTCGTATTTTTATATACAAAACTCATTACTTTCAAAACAATCTCTGTGATGCAGATTTCGATACATATTCCATCTAGCACTAGGTGAGGAAACCAAGGCAGAGGAAGATGAAATCAACTTGGCTACATGCACACCAACCTAGATTTAAGTATGACAAGAGGAGGCAAATAATCATACAACAAATTTCCAATTGGCAGAATAAATGATCGAGTTCAATTTAAAGAAAAAAGGTCTATAGTCTTTCTCTTGTTAAGCAATGACTATCTGATATTACTTTTATATATATTAACATATAAACAAGGCATGTAATCCACTCAGTTTTTAAGTTTTGAAGTCACCTATACTTAAACCCTCCATTGAAAAAGTAAAAGAAAAGAGAGTAAGACATAAGGGTGTGTGGGGAAAAAACACCTACTTTCTGATGCTTAGCACCACGAATGTGGGCAGCATATGCATCTGCTCCTGTACAAGACACATCGCAGAGCTCACAACGTAGCTGATTTTGAGTCCCACGAGTAGAGTTGTTGCTGCTGCTGGTATTTTGTGAGGCTTTCAATGCGGCTTCTTTTTTTTTATGTTTCTGTCCTTCTAAATGTTCTTTATAAGTCTGTTTCAAACAAAAAGGATAAATTTTGCTTTGCTAATTTTCTATCTATAACCATTTAAAATATTCAATTCTCAAATCTCTAATACTCATTTAAGAATGAGTACTAAACAACTGTAAAAGCAATTACAGCATGTGGGATTCCCTATCTATTTATCTATCCATATTTATCTGTGGTTCTCTGCACTTTGTTTACCAAGAATACATTTATCTAACACTGATTTACAAAGGCCTTTCATACTTAGCCACATTATCAATAGAAGGTACATCACTTTCAGTTTTAAGAATCTGCATCTTTTACTGCTTATGTATAATCATGGACAGAGTAATGATTCCACAAATTATTTTCATTATAGAATTAAGATGGGGGGGCTGTATCTACATCATGAAAAAAAAAATTATGGAACGGTAACAAGACTCTTTACAAACAGGTATGTCTATTTATAAAACTGACTTTTCTACTTAGAATGCATTTTCACATAGAATCCATGCCATCCCGAACAAAAGCCTATTTAAAATAGGTAACAGCCAAAATTGTATGTATTTGCAAGGAAAAAATTATTATTGTACTTCTAACCAACAAAATAGTGAAATTGTGTATAAAAAACTGTCTGGAATCAGATGATCAAAGAAGGCAGATTTGTGAAGAAGGCAGAAGTGAAGAGGCTACTAAGGACTACTGTTTGCTTTGTCTTGAGTGGGGCCAAAAGTTCCTCTTTCATGTTTTATTTTTAAAATTGTTTTTAAGACAGATGTATAATTAGCAAAAAAATGTATTTTCATCATAGAATCTCAGAGGTGGATGGGACTTTAAAGATAACCTCAAACAGTGATTTTCTAATTTTTAAAAAAGAGAATCCTTTCTCCAAGTGAAATCTTATACAGAAGTAGAGAAAGTTGTTCTGTTTTTGAAACAGAAGAGGGAGACCTAAGACCCAGCCATTTGATTCTTCTCGTTATCTGCAGTGGCCTGAACTGGCTCCATGAAGCACTCTGAGGCTCAATTATTTAGGGCACGTCCTTATCACAGAAGTGAGGAAACAAAAGCCCAAAGAAGTAAAGGCCTTCAACTTGCCCAAAGCCACACAATGGTGGAGCCAGGACTGGGAACCATGGCCCCTTAAATCTGAACCCACTTATTCTCCCTCCTTATGTCTACAACTAGACTCTAACTTACAATATCAGTGATATTTTTCCCTAAGGCTCATCAGCCCCTTAAGGCACTGCCCTCTGACCTGCTTGGCCTGTTCTTTCAGAACAATCTAGACAATGGTCAGCCTTATATATACTCATTAAAATGCTGCTTTTCACCTGTCATCCTACAGCTATGTTCTATCCTTTTATATGTATATCACATATTCAAAACATCTCTTAGGCCACTCATAGCATCATCTCCTCTAAACAGCCCATTGTGGAGTAGGATATCCTCCTTCCATGTTTAATCCTGGGCCAACACCAACATTCCCACCTGTTCCCTCTCCCCTAGCCATGTAATCACAATTAAACTGTTTCCTATCACACTCAAAATAGAGAGAAAAAAGGTTTTACATAACTAGTCACATATATTAAATATTCCACAATTATTTCCTAATTTGGTGTAACACAGGAAATACTGACAATTTAAAATAATCTTAAAAAATAGGTATTTAAAAGTAGAACTTATCTAGTAAATTAACAAGAATGTACACAGGTGAGGCAGGAGTGGAAAACAATGTAACTGAAAGAAACTACTACAAAGTTCGTTCCTTTCCAATAAGCCTTTTATCTGCCAAACTGCTTATCAAATTTTTATATAAAAACACACACTCTTAAATATTAACAAATTATGTTGGGATAAGAGTTGAACATATTAGATTTTATAAACACTCATGCCTAAATCACACATTTTAAACTGCAGCAATCAGGGAAAAAACAAAATGGGGGTTGGGGGGGCATAAAGATTTTACTTTATGCTTTACTATACTTTATGCTTCTTTAGTTGATATTTCTGAAAAAGACACTTCCCCACATCTTTCTTGTTTCCAAAGTTCCTATTCCCTCATGGAAGATATTATATAGCAATAGTAATATTCTACAAAGCATATACAAAAATCAGTCTTATTAGAAATGTTACCCGCAAACTACAGATTAGAAAAAAATTTATTTTAAGAATTTTTAAAATTCAGAAAGACAATTTTCTTCTGCTCTTTATATGCTCCAAAAAAGTAGCACACTTGACAAAGTCCTCTCATCTTTAATGCAAGTATGTAAAGCTGAATTCTCTCTATGGTCATCCTTTTTCAGATGTAAAATTCTATTCATACACTCAAAATGGACCTCAAAGAAAAGCTAAGAAAATCAAGAGCCAACTGTGTTAAGCAAGCTGTGGATGATAAAAGAGAAATAAAAATTCAATCTTACCCCCAACCCCAATTAATCTGAATGTAAGGCTTCTAAGTTAAATTTAAGTTTTACTTTAAAGAGCAAAGTATCTTTACGGAAAAAAGTACAATTTGCCCATTTTTCATTAACATTCATAATCATTTTTAAAGTTTCTTAATAGAATTCTTATGTGTCAGTACAAATACTTCCTTGAAAATGACTGTTTAGGAAAATATGTATGTGTTAGCTAAAAGCTAACAGGAAAGAAAATGTAAACCTTCTCTGTAAGCGTAAGAGTTAGAATATCAACCATACTTAACTATCAAAAATACCCATTGAAGACTCATGGTAAAACATACAACGTTAAGTACCTGTGGTCCAGCACAGCTGATCTTACAAACATCACAATAGTGAATCTGGGGTGGTTTGGGAGGCTGTTTTGGTTTCAGTTGTTTATTTTGGAATGGTGCTTTTTTAGTAAAGGTGGTCCCTGTCCAGGCAGCTGTTGCAGCAGCAGCTGCTGCTGCGGCCGCCGCCTGCTTCTGTTGCTGCTGCTGCTGTTGGTAGTAGGAGGATGCAGCTGAATACACTGCTGCTTCATAACCTGAATAAGACGTACCTTACAAATAAAATCAAACAAAGATTATGTTAAATAATTACAAAAGGCCAAGTTAAATGTCATGAATTTAAATTCAATAAATTCCGCCAATATAGGTAGGTTTACATGTGCATATTTACAAATATGTATCTCACAAAACCTGGAAAAATCTTTATCTTCCTTTTATAGAAGTCAATCAACTTTTTAACTCAACACATGCCAGGCGTTACAGAGGCATAGAAAAAGTTTAAGATTTGGTTTTTGCCTTCAAAAAACATATAGTTCAGTTGGTGGGCTACAACAGAGTGATAAAGTTACATGGTCACGGAATCTGTTAATATTTCTCCCAAAAGAATTCCTCTGAATACAATTTGGGAAGGGTTGAATTTGAGGAAGAGTCTGAACTAAGATACTAGTAGGAAAAAAAGAAACTCATGAAAGTAAGATTTTTATATACTTGATGGCTAAGAGAATAGAAGAAATAAAAGAACAGAAAACACACCAAGATTTTGAAACCCACTGATTGACTGATGGGCTGTGCAACTGATAAAAGCAAGTGGCTGACAGAAGCTGGTTTGGAGAAGTAAGGGGAATAAACCCTAGCAGAAGTTTGTGATATGGAACCAGAGTTTAGATGAATATACAGGACAACAGACGTAAGATTTTGGACTTAAGGACCAAATACACTGTTTTTCATCCTCCAAAAGAGACATAAGCACTATATTTTCTGGTTGAATGTATGGATTCTATCCATGTCCATTGTTCAAAGTGTAATGAATAAGCACATGAAGCTTGTTACTGACATAAACATAATACATATACACATGTTGTTTATGTTCAGTGATTTATAGACCTAAAAATCTATAAAAGTTTTAAATTTGACAAAGTTGCTGTATAAAAGGACCTCAAAACTAGAAAACTTACCCCCTTTCTAAACTAAGATCTCTGGAAATTTGGTGGACTCCCTATTTACCCCATTACAGTAAGACTTCTTTTTTCTCTGAAGTGGAAATGAGTGGAGAAAGAGTCATGTAAGGCTCAAAAAAAAGATTCCTGGTTGCCAGGATGGCAAAGAAGAACTACTTGAGGAAAACTGAACTTTTGATGTCTCAAATGCAGACTGCTTTATTGGAAAAAAAAAAATAAGACTTCTGACCCACTAGCTCCAAGGCATCTACACGCAGGGAAGAAAACATTAATTAGAAAGGTGAGGATTTTAAGATGCATGGGAAATCAGAATCATGGCATCCGAAACTGGAAATATCTAGAAAAGAGACCAAATAACTTGCATGAAAAGGCTTCCTAGAGTTTTATGTCAGGTTATCAAATTACATAAATGCTTCTAAAGATAGAAAGTGTGGTAGGGGTGCCTGGGTGGCTTTAGTCAGTTGAGCATCTGACTTCGGCTCAGGTCATGATCTCACAGCTTGTGAGTTCGAGCCCCGCGTCGGGCTCTGTGCTGACAGCTTGGAGCCTGGAGCCTTCTTCGGATTCTGCGTCTCCCTCTCTCTCTCTGCCCCTAACCCACTCGCATTCTGTCTCTGTCAAAAATAAATGAACATTAAAAAAAAAAGAAAGAAAGTGTAATAAGAGAAGAAAACATCTAAAAATAAAAGTAGGGAGAAGTAGGTAGGTATATCAATACTAAGAATATGATCAGATAAAAAAACAATTAGATAACAACTGATGTAGGGGCGCATGGGCAGCTTCGTCAGTTAAGTGTGTGACTCTTGATTTCGGTTCAGGTCATGATCTCATAGTTCATGAGATCGAGCCCCGCGTTGGGCTTTGTGCTGACAGCTTGGAGCCTACTTGGGTCGGTCGGTCTCTCTCTCTCTCTCTCTGCCCCTCCCCAGCTAACATGCTCTCTCTCTCTCTCTCCCTCAAACATTTTTTAAAAAGAAAGAAAAAACAGAACAACTGATGTAAATGATCAAGGGAAAACCTATATAGATCAATGAACTCTTTTCTGGTCAGTTTTACCAATGTCCTTTGTTATTTAAAAATGGGATAGAAGAGGGGCACCTGGGTGGCTCAGTCGGTTAAGTGTCCGACATCAGCTCAGGTCATGATCTCACAGTTGGGGAGTTTGAGACTCACGTCGGGCTCTGTACTAACAGCTCAGAATCTGGAACCTACTTCAGATTCTGTATCTCACCCTCTCTCTACCCCTCCCCAGCTTGCTCTCTATCTCTCTCTCAAAAAACAAATAAAAAACAATAAAAAAATTTTTTAGGAATGTGATAGAAAAATATAATTAAGTTCACAGCCAAGTATCTTCAAAATAATAGTTTAAATATCACTCTTAAAATCCATTAAGTTGTCTAGTTAAAGCTACCTTTAGATTAAAACTGGCTAGGACCATGATTTTTGTATGAATCTTTACAATAGATATTTTCTAAATAACTAGCTGTTATATACAGAAACTGTAAAAATGCCACTTAAATGTAACCTCATGAATTATGTATCATAAAGTAAAAAACAGGGTAACAGCAACAGCATACTACAATGCTGGATGACCAGGACTTGTAGTTTTTTGCTTTTTTTTTTTTTTCAATTGAGAATCCACAGTATGACAGTCAGTTTTCCAGACACAGTGAAGTCTCAAAACAGGTGTGTTAAGGCAAGTATCTCCTTATTTGACAGATGAGAAAACTGAGGCTAAGAGATTGTGAAGTACTTTAAACACTGAGTTATCTAAACCACAAAAATAACCAGGTTAAGCTTACTATTTACAAAATAATCTCCCTCTGTACACATGTAGTCTAAAACTAATAAAAGGCAAGCTTAACTATAGCTTACTACTTAATCTCCTATGAACACTTGCAAACAATCGTACATTTCTTGTAAAAGCACTGTAGAAAAACAAATATAAGGCTGCATCTTTAAGTAAAAGCTCAATTTTTGAGGGCTAAAACAGTTTCAATTAAAAAGTACTCTTATTTAAAATGCTTATTAGTAAGTTAAATAAGCTGAAATTTTAAGTGTAAGATATCACAAACAAAAACATACCACTTCAGTAGAAAACTCAGCATGCTACAAGTCACCATTTAGTACATACCAATATTCTAGAACTCATCTTAATGACAACAAAAAAATAGCTAATCTAAATTGTAGCTGATATAAAACTGCATATACAGAACTCAGACACCCTAATAATGACTCTTCTGGATGACAATTTCACACTGTGTATTGCATTTTTTTCAAGTGCATACCCTTCGACACAACAGTAATTTCTAGGAATTTATCTTAGGAAAACAACTGACAACTACACAAATCTTTTCATACAAGGATTATTTAACTCAATGTCGTTCTTAGCTTTTCCCTAATACGAAACCAAGCATCCCAAGACACAAACTCTAAAATCTATATAGTACATCCATACAATAAAATATCACGCACCCATTAAAAACTACGTATTTCTAAACGTAGATTTTGATTTCTAAATACTATATTAGAAATCACAGCTCCTTTGTGAAATGGCTGATTGTGAGACTCGGGCAGGAAATGCTTTAAGTGTATGTATCAGCAATATCTTACTGTGCCAAAAACGAAATAGGGGCTCAAAGAATAACGATGCCAAGTCCAAAAGGCTCAGGAGCTAGTTTGAAATGGATCCCATTGGCCAAATTTGGGAAAATGTGTGCCTCAAAAAGAAAAAAGAGAATAATGGATTATACTACAATGAATAAAAAAGAATGAGTCCACAGTAATACTAAAAAAGAAGGAATAGGGGACTCTTCCTTAGAGAAGAGTGCTAAGAATCAATGTAAAAGGATTTTATATCCACCATCATTGAACTTGATCCAGTTAAGAGATTTTCAAAGGATCTAACACCATAGAGTGAAGAGTAGTTGGGTAATAGGCCCAAAGATTACTCGGTTACTTACAAAGTGAAAAAGGTATCCTTAAAATGGAGAGATCTGATAGTCATTATACCTGGCTGGCATCACCAACACAGAATTTATAACATTACTTATGTGCTCTTGATGTGATGAGATACAAAAGTTCACTTAGGTAGTTTTATTGACTAAAAAGCGGTCATAATCTAAGCATAAAGAAAGAAAAATCCAGATTGTGGGATATTCTATAGGACAACTGGCCTGAACTCTTCAAAAATGTCAAGGTCATGAGAGACAAGATAAAAATAGGAGATTATTCTACATTAAAGAAAACTGAAACTAACAAGGTATAACAACCAAGTACAATCCATGCTCCTTGATTAGAATCTGAATTTAAAACGAAGCACATGGGTGCCTGGGTGGCTCAGTTGGTTAAATGTCCAACTTCGGTTCAGGTCATGATCTCATGACTTCTGAGTTTGAGACCTGCATCAGACTCTGTGCTGACAGTTCAGAGCCAGGAGCTTGCTTCGGATACGGTGTCTCCCTCTCTCCCTCCCCCTCCCCACCCAAATAAATAAACATTAAAACATTAATGTTAATTAAAACATTAAAGAAAAAAAGAAAGAAAGAATAACTTAAAAAAAAAAATGGGGAGCCTGGGTGGCTCAGTCACTTAAGCACCTGACTCTTGGTTTCGGCTCAAGTCATGATCTCCTAGTTCTTGAGCAGGAAACCTGCATCAGGCTCTGGCTAACACCACATAACCTGCTTGGGATCCTCTGTCTCCTTCTCTGTGCCCCTCCCCTGCTTGTGCACATTCTCTCAAAATAAACAAACATTAAATAAATAGATAGATAAGTAAATAAATAAATAAATAAATAAATAAATAAAACAAAGTGCAAACACACCAAACACCTAGAAAGCCCAGCCATAAAAGACACTTGAGGACAATTAAAGAAATTAGATAATATCCATGTTCAATTTCGTTTTATGATATTTGCATTTGGTTACGTAAAAGAATGCCCTTATTCTTAGGAAATACATGCTGAAAAATTCTAGGCAAAGCACCAGGTCATCTGCAACTTGTAAATATACTGCTGAACCATTTGAAAATGTGTTTTGATAAAGCAAATATGATAAAATATTAATTGATAAATCTAGTTAAATGGTATATAGTACACTTGTACTATTTTTTCAACTTTTCTGCAAAATTAAAATTTTCTAAAATAAAAAGTTGGGGAAAAACAAATCAAAAGGATGATATATTTTAATTTAATGACATGAAAGAACATTCACAATGAGAAAAAAGCCAATTAACAAAATAATATGCATTAGACAAATTCCTTTTTATAAAAAAAAGGTATATACTGTATATGTATATTCCCATGAAGAAAAGACAGACATGCACCAAAATGTTAATGGCAGGAAGTATCTAGGAGTAGATGTCCAATGATTTAATTTTTTCTCCTTTTTTATCTATAGTTTCTAGTTTTAAATGTATTTACATGTATTATTCATGTAATATAGCAGTAAATAAAAACAATTAACTTCATCCTGTGTAAGATTTATTCAAGCAACTGAGACAATGGAAAAGAGAAAAGAGAGGGAGGAGAACATGTAAGAGAGAAGCAACAATAGGAAAGAATACATTGTACTCCTTATTTTGAAGTTAATGTGGACATTTTTAAAATATGTGCCCAGGGGCACCTGGGTGGCTGGGTCAATTAAGTGTCCAACTCATGATTTCAGCTCAGGTCATGATCTCACAGTTGTGAGAGTGAGCCCTGCATTGGTCTCTGTGCTAGGCATGGAGCCTGCTTAAGATTCTCTCCACCCCCCCCCCCCCCCCACTACACACACACACACCTTCTCTCTCAAAAAGAGAAAAACAAAACTTTAAAATGTGTCTAGTCAGATTCCACTGAAATAATTCCATATGCAGTTATAACTTATTAATCAGAGATAAAGAGAGACAGAAAAGTATCTTGGCAATCCTAGGAATCACAGACCTAGGAATAATAACATTTCCTCACTCCTAATTCATTCCTGCATGGTTGCCACAGTTAACTTAAAACCTGCTCCTACTGCTCCTGTTCTGCAGACTTCCTCTTTGGCACCCTTTTGGCCCATAAGACTATAACAGAGCCTACAAGGCTTTTCACAATGACATTTCTAGCCTCATATCTTGAGATTTACCCCGTGTATCCTGTATTCCAGCCAGAAAAAAAAGGTTTTCCTAAATACTCCATGTCTGCCTAACTCACCATTATATACCTAGCACCCAGCATAAGCATTTAATTTTGCATAGGGTAAGAGATTAAAAAAAAAAAAAAAAAAAACTCTGAAAAAAAATTTTTTTTTTTAAATTCTGTAGTTAGTCTTCTAACACCAAGCTACAACAAAGTATCAAGAAGAACTAAAATTGCCCATATTGCTTTAAATCCTCCATGGAACAAGATGGGGTATTAAGAAATAAACTGCAGAACAAAACAAACCATACAGTAATGCAAGGTTACAGATCTACAAAAAAGCAACATGTCATTTTTTTTTCCCAATCTAAAAAGGTGGTTTTATTAAAGCACGGGGACAGGACCTGTGGGCAGAAAGAGCTGCCACAACATATGACTTTAATCACTGAAACACTGCAAAGTACCTCAGCTAGAAATGAGAAAAGCAGTGGACATAAGTAAGATTTTAGTGATTATATTTCTCTCACTATAATGATTACTTAAGGAAATACATACTTTCCTTAATAAGATAATAAAAAAAAATATGATTATTTAAGGAAAATAAAGCTATTCTGTCCTTCTAAGAGACATGTGTTACAGAACAATCTTATGGATGTTTACAAAAGCTACCTAATATTTTCAAGATTACTTATTCCTGATAATAAAGATAAAGAAACAGCTCCCTGACACAGCTGAAATAAATACAATTTGTCAGTGGTAGTCCCTGAATGTCAACCTTAAGTTTTCAAATTCATTTGGAAAAGTCAGGAAAAAAAAAAATGACCATGTAAAATACTAGGTGTTATTTTCTCTAACTGCAATGCTAGGCCCAGGACTCATGACTACCTTTCAAATGCCCAAAGAGCATTTTACATTGTTAAAATCTCCTAGCTTAAAAAAATAAAAATAAAAAAACAAACAAACAGTAACACCACCACCAACAAAAACACAACCTAGGGTACGGTCTATTTGTTACATTATGCACATATAACAACAACTATCAATTAATTCAATTCTGGCTACTGGGAGGAAGATCATTCCATAAAATAAGGTAGTTTCATTTAAACACAGCTTATCCATCTTACCAGAATAAGTAACTGCCGTGGTACTGTAAGTAGCACTCTGGGTATAAGATGGCACCACAGTAGCTGCAGCTGCTACTGGCTGTACGGTGGAAGATACAGGATAAATGGAGAAAGTAGTGGTAGCTGGACTTGGTGTGGCTGGTTTTATGGCTGTCACTTGTCGAGTCTGCTGGGCTTGTGTATACTGAGTTGCACCTTGGCTATAACCTGCTTTGGGGGCTAAAATGGGAAAGAGACATCAGAAAATTAGAAGGGTGTACCTTGATATTTTTTCTAATTTTCAAGGATATTGATAAACTAAGTATAAACATCAACTGTAAATCTGATGCTAGAAGTTTTTTCTTAGCACAAGGGTTGAAATTCTTACTACCAATTAAATAACACATCTATATAAATTCATCTAATATCCCATTCTCAGATGCTTTCTATGTATTTCCAAAATGGCATTTTGTCCAAATTTACAACTAACTGAATAGCAGTACTACTTAAATAACGTTTTTAGAAAAGGTGTGTGTGTGTGCGTGTGTGTGTGTGTGTGTGTGTATTTAGGCTAGTCAGTCTAATTTGAGCATTATGCTTAATATTAGGAATAGCGAGCCTCAAATATGTATTTCAATTCACAATAAAAATTTCATTGTTTAATTACATCAACTTGTTCAAATATACTTCATCACATTTTTATTAATTCATCCATAGTGAACTTCAGTCTAATTTCAACTCATAAGGTGACACTGACTTAAATCTTCAAATGTCCAATGGCTTGAGTGCAATTGTTCTCAAATGGCTAATATTCAGGTTTCTGCTGCCTTTGACCATGTTCAAAATATTTATTTTGCTTTAAGAATCTTAGGAACCTTATGCTTTAAGGATTTTTTAAACCGTATGCTTTAAGAATCTTAGGAACCTTATTATTAAGCCCTAAATTAATAATTAATCATTTATTAACAATCATTAAGGCATACAAGTCTAATTCCTGATAAAGGCCCAAATATCAGAGGGCCAGTACCTTATGCTTAGTTTAGTAAAGGCACCTTAAATAAACAGCAGTTCAGTTTATAAAACTGTAGTATGAAACTTGATCCACACAACACACAGATCAGGACATTTTACAAAAGGAAATTAATGTCCAAGAGCTAAATGGCTTACAAGTCACATAGTCAATATCAGACCCAAGACTAAACCAAGGCTCTTCTGACTCTTAAATACAATCTAACTTTGATAATTAACTAGGAAGTTCACTACAGATCAGTGTACTCACAAATCATTAGAGAACAAACTATAAGAAAAATCAGTCATAACTATAAAAATATTTGTATACCACTTTTAAGAGACTCATAAAAATCTGAGAACTAGAAGTACCCTAGAGAGATCTGGATCAACTGCCTCAGTTACTAATAAGAGAACAGAGACGAAAAGAGGTAAAAATCACTACCCACATTAGTGGTAAAGTCAGTACTAGAGGCTAGTCCTACTTTTTCCTAATCCAAGGTTCTACCCACACTCTCACAGTCCTTCAAAAATAAAATAAATGAACTGTCTACTTTTCTGAACTCAGCTGTTTTTAAAAGTTTTCAATTCAATCTCTATTAAAAAAATCCATCTTCAGGGTGCCTGGGTGACTCAGTTAAGTGTTCGACTCTCCATTTCAGCTCAGGCCATGAGGTCACAGTTCTTGAGATCCAGCCCTGTGTGGGGCTCTGAACTGACAGCACAGAGGCTGCTTGGGATTCTCTCTCTCCCTCCCTCTCTGCCATTCCCCCCAGTTGCACTCTCTCAAAATAAATTTAAAAACTTAAAAAGGTGGGGGGCCTCAAAGGGTCTCCACTGGTTACACAAAGGCAGGCAGCAATATGTTCTGAGCATCTCTAGTGAAGATAAGAATGTGGCCAGAAATTATCACCATAACTCCTTTTGTATAGCTTATTTCACAGCAGGAAGAGAACTGTAAGAAAAGGGCATGATTAGGATTTGTCCCCATGGCCTTCTCTCTTTGGTACTCAAAGGCATTACAACAGCAGAACAGAGAACAAGGCTAAAACCTGCTTCTTTTTAAGTAATGTAACACAATGACCTTAGATGAACTCAAAAGGGTACCTTCATTAAACACAGTGAACAATTTATTTTAGTAGTTTTCAATGAAACTGTATGCTAATAAAACCCACCTGTCTGATAGTAGGTTTCAGCAACAGAAGGCTGAGGCTGGGCAGCAGCTGCTACGGCAGCAGCCGTTGCTGTTGGCTGTTGGTAGTACTGCTTACTATCATAAGCTACAGCAGGAGCGGTGGATCTTACATACGAGTACGAGTCCTAAAGAAAGGCAATAAAAGAAAGTCTTCCTGTAAGTGAAGTGGCAGGAAAAAAAACCCAACTCTACTATATAAAAGTGTAATAAAGGAAAACAACTAACTACAGACCTATGTATAAGAATCAAATTCAAAACAAAGGGCAATCATTTTGGACTTCAAATAAGGTCAAAACCATTTCAAGCAGCATGTTTAACTTTCACATCAGAAAAAAATCACTGAAGCATTTAAAAATAATGCCTATCTTTAAAAATGGATCTCATAGTAAAGACCACCTGTGTGTTCTAAGCTTTGACTGCTCTGGCTTTCTTTTCATTCTTTACCACTATTAACAACATGATGAGTAGCAGCTTCTGGGTGGAGAGGAAAGGGGAACTCAGGTTCCAGGAAGAAAGAACACCGTATATAAGTCTCCAAAGCAGTGAAGATCAAGGTGAGCTGGGTGAACTCTGGCACTGCATAAAGTGAGGAGGGGGACATGCAGGTGGAAAGGCTGAAAAAATAGGCAAGGCCCAGAAAATGATGGGTTGCATACACCCTATTAAAAACAATGGATTTATTATATTGTGTCTCTGGACATAATAAAAACAATCACACATGGCAAAAGGAATTCTGAGTTTAGTAACTTGCCCAATAGTAACAGAAAATACTAATGTTATGATTCACATGTCAATTCATTACTGAACAAAATAAATTTATATACTTTAGAAAGAATATAGGAAAACTAGGCAAAGTCCAGAAGGATCTGAGTTTAAAAACAGATCCTAGGGGAGCTGGGGTGGCTTAGTCAGTTAAGCATTCAACTCAATTTTGGCTCAGGACACGATCTTGCATGAGTTTGAGCCCTGTGTAAGTCTCTGTGCTGACCCTGCTTGGGATTCTCTCTCTGTTCCTCCCCCATTCCCTCCCTCAAAACAAACATGTAAATCAATCAATCAATTAATAAATAAATAAATACAGATCCTAAAAGCAAACAAACAGAAAATGGGTTACTAAAACATGAGGACCAAATTTAGTAAGTAGTAATTTAGTGTCATAACAAACAGTACTACTATAAAAGGGAATTAGATCTTTGGGTCCCCAAAAGACTGAACCAAAAGCAACTAAATGAATAAGAGCAGTCATCAATTTGTTACATACCAAGAAAGAATACCTTGAGCGGCAAGTTTTCTGTCCTTGTTAAATTTCAAGAGAACACTATGTAACTTGTTTGGCCTATATAGCTTAGGCTCATGGTTCTCAAAAGAGGAGACACAGCCTGTGTTCCAAATGGATGGATGAATAATGCCATAATACAAACAAGGAGCATCTTCACTATGTCTTCATTTTTCTGAAAACCTTGGTTAATATTTAACCAGTAATTAATGGAAAATATTTTTAATTAAAGCAGACACAGATACAAAATGGAGTTGAATGGACTCGGGAATTACTAACATAAAACTCACTGCAAGGATGCCCCTAAATTACCTATGAACACACACTCACTTCATCATTACAGGTAGATTTCCGAAGACCCAAGTTTGAAAGCACTGGCTTGGACACTGTATCACACACTATGGCCATTGAAGCATGTATGTCAAGACTACTGGAACCAGTAGTTTTCTTACCTGGTAGTTCTGTGTAGTAGCTGGGGGTGGTGGTGGTGGTGCTTCTTGTTGTCTCTGGGTATAACCGTAGTCAGTTGCTGTATGTGCAGTGGGGTAGCCTCCATAAGCAGCAGCTGTTGCAGCAGCTGCAACAGCTACTGGAGCAGGCCTGGCAACTGCAACTGTGGCGGCCGCTGGTGCATAGGCAGCAGTAACTGTGTGAGCAGCTACTGGAGCCTGATGGACAGTGTAGCTAGCAACTGTAGTTGGATGAGAGTAGGCTACACCCGAAGCTGGCTGCTGGCTATATTGTGGAGTAGAAGAATAAAGATAATACAATTTAGTTGTAAAATCTAAGCATTTAATAAAATACAAAGCACATTTTCAAGAAATTTAATCACGGGCTACACAACACCAAGTATTTGAACTCAATAAACCTCCTAGTCAATTCCGTATTTGTTACTGTTGTATGGTTTTTATTCCTTAATTTTAAAACATTGGACAGTCACACATACTACGCTTAAGATCATGGACCATATCACAAAGCAGGGATGACAAACTGGGATAAAAAGCAGTACTAGGAAGAAAAGAAAAACTGATGAAACTAGGAATTTTAAAAAATATTTGTTTGTAAAGTTCTTTATCCTTGTTCTATAGTTAAAAAAAACTCTACAAAGAAATCATGTTAAAAATATTGAGTTCTAACTCCAATTACAGAAAACATTTAAGGGAGAAACTATTACTTATTTGACATAAGAAATACTTCTGATACCCTAGGGCAGTACTTATCAACTGGAGGAGATTGTGCCCTCCAGGAACATTTGGCTATGTCTGGAGATAATTTCTGATGGTCAAATTGCAGAGGAGGTGGTGGTGACTGATGTGTGCTACTGGCATCTAGTGGGTAGAGACCATTGATGCTGTTACTTATCCTACAATAAACAGGACAACTACCCACAACAAAGAATTATCCAAAGAATGTCAATAGTGCTGAGGTTGAGAAATCTTGCTCTAGGGCACAAAACCTACAATGGACTATCTATGATTTTAGATAAATTACCCAAGTTGCAGGCAGCATTTCATTACATACATTTATTTTTCTCTTAAAAATGTAGCACATGTTGCAAAAGAAGACCTAAGTCAGATGCTTTTCAATCATAACCATTTAAAACATAAAGAGGCAAAAACATTTTTCAAAACTGTAGATCAAATAAATTTCCAGCTAAAGTTCTCAGAAAAATGTTTAATTTTTAAATTGAGAGTCTATGTCATATAAAACCAAGGCTTACAGATGTTAGCACATGAAAGTGTATTTGTTATTTTAATACACTTAGAATTACACTTAAGTTTTATTATCAAGGCAGAAATGCCTTCTAAAAAAAGGAAAGCCCCAACAGTTATTTTAGCTGACAGGTTTTAGATGACCGTAAGTTTTAATATGAGCCAACAAGTTAAGAATAGCTAAGAAAAAAAATACCCGACGTAAGCTGAAGCTGCACTAATAGAGTGTCTGATTCATGGGTTATAGTACAGGATATTCTTCACTGGTGTGCACAATACCATACAAATATGGCATACAATTAAAATTTGGGGCCATCACATTTTAACCATATTAGGGAAAACACTGATAATTATAATGTATTCAAAGGGAATCAATATGAAACTTATAAGTATGGGTATTATTTCACATAAAAAGTAGAGGACCTGGGAACATTCAGTCTAGAAGAGATGACTGGGGAAGATATGAGAGCTGCCTTCTAATAGAAGAGACTTACTCCATGCTGCTCCAGAGAACAGAACTAGAACCAATGGATGGAAGGGTGGCAGATTTCAGCCCAATATGAAAAAGAAAAAAAAACAAAAACTTAGAACAAAGTCCAAAGAAACTCTTATAATTTATATTTGGAAGAGGTTTTCCACATTTTGATATTAAAAATAGCTAATAATTTCTACATATATGACAACTGAAAGACAGGAAAAGGGAAATTTAAATAGTGGAAAATTGGTTTGGGATTGACATTTTCTATGGATAATTCCACAGCCTTAAGAAAAAAATGCCAATAACATATTATACTTCTTCAAAATTCCTAGAACTGAGAAAAAGAATATTTAAAATATAAATACACCAGTTCTGTGAAACTTATATTTAACATTTACTGATAAAATTTCACACATTCAGACTACACTGCATAAAAGGGGTTTGTTTATATAAAAATTTAGATAGTCTTGGACTCCTATATAGTTTCCATTCACCCCACGCTATTTATCAAAATATTTGTTCACACTTCTTGATCCCCAAAACTTGTCCTACAGGACAAAAAAGAGAGTGGGAATAGAATAGGAACGTTAAGTCAATTTGACTTATACTGCCTCTGATCCTTAAAAGACCCTGTGACTAAGAAAGGGAGGACAATATGCTCTGGTTTAAGCCCACTGTCCCCTCATAATTATTAACAGTACTCTCTCACACCCATGTGTCTTGGCTTGAACAATAAATCTTATAATCACCCTTCCCAGTAACCATATAAAAAGTATGTCAATACTTTAGCAATTATCATAAAGTACATGCCTAGGGCTGCCTAACCCAACTGCTCTTAGCCAGATACCTACCCATCATCTGGGCTGAAACTATATCCTCTACCAAAAGCATCATGATGAACGATGATCTAGTCCCAATTCCCAGGGGTTTAAGGGCTAGGGCAACTGTCTGCTGTTCAAAATAAAGATTCTCTGGTTATCTTAAACCCATCTGGGAAATTCTTTTTCAACTTGAAATATCCTTAGAAAAACTGCCTTTAATGTGATGTATATGACCAGCCTGGGCCATACCAATTCAATTAAATATCTACTGGCTAAGTCTAAATAAGTAAGTAAATTTTTAAAAATTCAAGTTCTGGGGCGCCTGGGTGGCTCAGTCGGTTGGGCGGCCGACTTCGGCTCAGGTCACGATCTCACGGTCCGTGAGTTCGAGCCCCGCGTCTGGCTCTGGGCTGATGGCTCAGAGCCTGGAGCCTTCTTCTGATTCTGTGTCTCCCTCTTTCTCTGCCCCTCCCCCGTTCATGCTCTGTCTCTCTCTGTCTCAAAAATAAATAAACGTTAAAAAAAAAAAATTAAAAAAAAAATTCAAGTTGAAATTAGTTTAAGCAAAATTAGGCTTAGGTTGAAATATTTTAAACCAAGGATTGTGCCTACTTTGGAGTGTTAGAATAAAAGGTCTTAAATTATATCCCTACATAAAATTTAAGGCTTAATGGTCATTAATTTTTTAAAATAAAACTGGACAAGTAATTAAGAACCCAAGTCTTGTAATAAAAATTTATTTGTGAAATGAGAAGACTTTCATTTTCATTCAGAAGAAGCTTCCATTTAGATAATATCCTTTGTGAATAAATTAAGTCTAATAAACTTCAGTCAGTTTTAAACCAGAACAAACTAATTAACCACAAAACAAACATATAAAAATATGTGTAAGCAAGGTTATGAAATACTTGAAGAATCAGACATAAAATGGAAAGGTATTTCTCTTGGGGGTTGAAAAATAAAATATTTAGGGAATTATTAATATTAAAGAGTAATGACACTTTTTATATTCTTGGACTTAAACTGGAGGTTAATGGCCAGCTTTCTCCCCTTCCTTACCAGAAAGTGAAACCAACCAGAGACCTTACCACAACAGATAGCTGACCAAAATCACCAGACAGTTGGAAGAAAGCCTACTATAAACTGCAAAAGAAACAGGATTGATCCAAAGAAAATGAATATCTCAAGGCAACAAACAAGAATTTAAAAAACTCTGATTTATCCATAAAATAAAAACTTTACACTCTGGTAGAAGATAAAGTTGAGGGATACAGACAAGATCAGAATATGAAAACTAGAAAAGAGAAGATAATCTAGGAAGTCCAATATCCAATTGGAAAGAATTTTGAAAAGAAAAGAAAAAAACAAATGAAAGAAATTAAGAAATAGTATTTCCCATTCTGGAAGGGAAGCATATATTTTCAAATTTAAAGGGACTACAGAGTGCAAAATCGAATGAAAGAACTACATCTAGAGACATAGCATTTTACAACACTTCAAGGTTTAAAAAAAAAAATCTTTCAAGTCTCCAGAAAGAAAAAAAAATAAGTCAGCTGTATACAAATAAATGAAAATCAGACTTTTACTGATAACACTAGTGGCTAGAAGACAGCAGACTGTCTTAAAAATTCAAGGAAAGATGATTATTAATACAGAGTTCTGTACCCAGCTAAACCATCAAGACAGAATTATTATTTTTTTTGACATTCGAGAACTGAGTTTACTACCTATACACCACCCCCCTCTCCGAAGTAACTAACATGAGGATGTACTTCAATAAAAAATAAACCAAGAAAAAAAAATGAGATCCTATAAACAGTGGATCCAAATCCAGGAGAGAGGAGAGGCCAGGTCAGCAGCTGTGCAGCAGACCGACACAGGCAATGAGCTTAGACTGTAAGTAAAAACAGTATAGAGGCCTCCAGGAGAGAAATGTCCAGGAAAACAGGATTGGACAAGGGACAGTATACCAGGAGCCTGGAAAAATCTTAAGATACAATCAAGGCACCAAAAAGATGGGGGGGGGGGGCGGGTGGTAATGAAAGGCTTCAGCAAATATGAAATTGCTCAAGAAAGGCATGATCCTGGTAAAAGACACCACAGTTAAGCAATCAGTAGGATGTAAAAAACAAACATCCATTTGAACTTGAACCTAGGAAGATTGTTCTATTAAGTGGCACAGGGTTGTAAAAATGGAACAAACATATTAGAAATGATAATCGTACACCACCACCACTTGGCTCCACAGTAAGTACTACTATTTACAATCATAAAAGAATAAAAGTTTTTGCATTAAAGTTTCAGAATCAACCTAAATTACAGAAGACAAACTACGATTACAGAATATAACATAAATGTTAATCACAAGTACAACCACAGCTAAGTTGGGGGATGGGGTGGGGAAAGAGGGAAAGTAAAGCACCAGAGTTCCAAGATTCTTTTCTTAAAATAGAGAGTACTGAGATACTGACTACCTTTGATGGATATGGAGTGTTGAAGTAAGAGAAATAGGCATATCAATGAATTTGGAAGGAGAAATGAGAAGCATGAGAGAGTATGTACTAACTCCTGACTGTAGGAAGTCAAAATATAATGCATAAAAAAGTTGATAAATTAAGATACAGAAAAGCATATGATTTCATGATATGCAGGTGAGAAATAAAACCAGAATGCACTAAAAGTAAGGGTCTCTACAAAGTGGAACTGGGAAGAAGGGAGAAGGAAAATAAGGGAATTTTTTCATTAAAAGCCCTTCTATACTATTTTATTTTTGATTACAGTATTATTACTCTAGGGGGGAGCATGAAAGTATTGGAATAGAATTCTCAAACTGGCAACTTGAATAACCGACGAACCACCCACCACAAATTTAAGATACTCCTAATTTCTACATTTCTGGACTAACCTATACCCAACCCTGAGCCCATTTTTAGCATTTGCAAGTTCCATTAGTATGAGTTGGCTATTATACTAAAGTTATAGTCACTACTGACATTAAAACAACTATGTGTACCAATGACTTGTCCATATAAGTGGCATCTGGTAACAGGGAAAACATTTCTATACCTCTTTTTTTTTTTTTTAAGTTTATTTATTTAAGTAATCTCTACACCCCACATGGGACTCAAACTCACAACCCTGAAATCAAAAGTCGTATGCTCTTCAGATTGAGCCTGCCATGCTACTCTATATAATCTTTATACAAGTGATTTTCAAAATGTGATCCAAGGACTACTAGGATCCAGGAGGTTATCCCTTTTTCAGTTACAGATTGCTTTCATATAATTTAATCCAAATAATTTATTGCTTTCATATAATTTAATCTAAACAATTTAATAAAAATCTCTGTAAAAGTGTGAGGTAAGGCCTCTTGTCTCACTATTTTGGGAGGATAGTAATCTAGTTATTTTTCATAAAGAAATTTGGGGTTAACATGTGGTAATTTTATTCTTATTTTAAAATGACTTAATAATTTTAAGTTTTTACTTATTTTGAGAGACAGAGCAAGCAAGGGAGGGGTAGAGAGAGAGGGACAACAGAACCCCAAGTAGGCTCCACTCTGTCAGCACAAAGCCCAATGCAGGGCTAGAACTCTCAAACTGTGGGATCATGACCTGAGCCAAAACCAAGAGTCGGATGCTTAACCGACTGAGCCACCCAGGTGTCCCAATAAATATTTTTTTAAATTCTAAGACAGTAAATATAACCCACATAAACAAAAGCTCTTTGGGGTCTTCAATAATTGTAACTGCTTGAGGGGTCCCAAAACTGTAAGCTTCAAGAACCACCATTTTATCATAGAGTCTATAATGGTATTCATCATTCATTTCCCCACTCTTTAAATTATATCTTTAAACAAAAACATTTCCTTCTATTCTGTAACAGGGAAACAGTTCTCCAGGAAAATGAGCAGTGCACATGGTCAGAGCCCTATATCTGCTGCCTACAGCTGCAATAACCCTATCCAGGGCTCCAAATCTCCCACTTTGCCTACTGTGCTGCTCAACAAACATAATTTTCTGTGTTAGCAGACATGAAAGGCATTGGGAAGCAATGGCCTAGAACTCTGGGACTCCCACGAGAACCAGCACAGAAGGTGAATTAGGAAAAAATCCATTCCCCCCACTTCTTTTAAAGATTTTTAAAAAATGTTTATTTATTTTGAGGCATACGTGGGTGGAGGGACAGAGAGAAGGAGAGAGAGAATCCCAACAAGCAG